TAGTAAAAACGGTGAAAAATTACGGACATCATAATAAAGGCAAAACCATTCTGTTATTTTATCTTGACCACATAAATCTTATAAACAAGCAATAAAATTTATTGAAAGGAGTCGTAGATAGAACTACTTTGAGCTATCACAAATGGCAAACACATTCGGTAGTAAAACGTATGACCTTCAGGCATGTCTGAATGTTCTTTGAAAATATGGACTCGCCTGAAAAGGAAGAGATGCACATGCGTACAGTCAATTACTTCACAAATTTACACCTTTTCCTTGATATCATCATGTTTCTACTCACATATAAGCATGTTGCTTCCAATTACGTTTAGGCCCATCGCAGAGGCTGCAGTAAAGTTTGGTACCTGCGTCAAGCAGTGTTTTGTTTACAATAAAAACAGCGAAGGATTCTGTTACGATGGAAAAGGGTAAGTGACCAGTAGGCGCGCGCTCTGATTTGTCATTGTTCACTTTCAGTTGTCAACCTTCCATAACGCAAAAGAATCTGCGAACTTCTTTGAGAATATGTTTGGCTCAAACCGGGTGGAAGAGCCATGCTTACGATCTGTGCGAATGTGCTCGTAAAGCTGGAGTAGAGTGAGTTTTTGTGGCATCCAACAGTTATTAGAAAGTATTTTTCAATAAGAAACAATACACTACAAAATTGGAAAGCAATCAAATTGGCGTATTCATTCACTAAACCGATAATGAGAAAGGAATTTGGCATTTGTTCCGAAGAAGTTGTCAGAGTTGAGTTTCACGTTGTACAAAGAACAATTGAGAATCCGCTTTAATCAAAAAACTCCCAACATCGATTTTCGAACACATTTAAGAATCTTCACAGCGGCAGCGGCAGGGTAACTTCTTGACTCTAACTGCATAAGTGTCTTATGACATTTCAAGAGAGGCGTGGTTCAAAAATTTGAGTCTTTCAGAATATCTACATCGTGTCGCTCTGATAATTTGGCGACAACTGTGCTGTTAAAAGCATAAAATCAAGTTGTTTACTCATATGTGATGCACCACAGACCACTTTTTAAGTCAATGAGGTTGAAGAACAATTACCATGCCATGCAAGTCAAACTGTCAGGATACTTTTAGGATTAGGATAATAAGTTTTTCAAAGAAGAAACTTCTCCGCTGCTGTTCGTTCTTTCTTCAAAAAATTGTAAATGTAGAAAGTAAACCAGCAGCTAATATAATAGTCTATTAGGTCGGTATGAAATTTGCTGTTCGTTTGATCATATTCTTTAGAATAAAAATACAGTGCGGTTCACAATTACACGAACACCCCAAATTTTGGAAGTTTCTAA